AGGCACAGATGGAGACCCTCTGTAGGTCGCTGTTGCTCTGGGGGAGGGGTAACGGAGTAGTTGCTAACAGATTTCAAATTGGGTAACGATGTCAACGATTGGTCGTGATCTCCTGAGTGCTGTGCATGGGTGGTTCCAGTGCTGGCTGTGGTCCGGCCAGGGAGGGTCTGCCTCAGGCCTGGGAGGGGAGGGCTGCCCAGGCCAGGGGAAGCATCCCAGGTCTCAGACCATCTCTCTCCTCCTCCTCCACAGGAACAGGTGTGTATAGTTACGCATGCGCTCAGGTTCAGCTGCGCTTTGGCCAACACTTAGTGACTAGGTTCCTATTATAATCATTACTAATAATGATGCAAAAATCAGTCTGTGCTGTTTAAAGAGTGATTTGGAACATGAGTGTTTAATGAGTCATGAGTTGGGGAGGATTTATTCTCCATCTGATGCTTTTTGTAGGAAAGAAGTGAGCACCGTTATCCTGCTTATGTTTAAGGAGGTTTTAATTTAAGAATTAAAATTGTTTTAAAAGAGACGCAGCGGTACAAGCCCCAGTCCCTCCCACAGCCTGGCGAAGGCCCCCGGGCGACATTCCCTTTGGGGCCCAGCCATGGAGAGAGGGGCTGGGGAGCTTTGGCCTAACACACAACTGATCACTGGTTGGCTTCCAAGCAGCCCTGCTCTAGGGCGGGAGGAGGGGCCGGAGTGCAGGCAGGTGCTCTGTGCAGACGGAGCCTGGCACCTGGCACCTGGCCTGAGGCCTGGGAGAGCTGCGGCCAGCGTCCTGCCTTTGCTGAGAGCAGCGCAGTTCAGTGTAGATGACCTGTGAGCTCCTGACATGCCCGTCCTCTTAGGAGCTGCCCTGCGCAGGCAGGCACTGCAGGTGAGGAGGAGCCCAGCGAAGAGGGTGTTGATTGAGTGCCTCCTCCGGGCCTAGGCAGCCCCCTGCCAGCCAACCTTGGGTCTGAGAGAAGGGGCAACTCCACAAAGTTCCCCTGAAGACCCTTTGGGCCGGTGGTGCCGGGGAGAGAACCCATCAAACGGGCCCATCCCCCAGCAGCTGCGAGGCGAGGCCCCTCCGGGAGTGCTGCCTGGTGCCCAGGGGCTCCCAGCGCAGCCACCCGAAGGGGGGGGGGGAAGGGAGGGAGCAGCTGCACCTCACAAAGAGCCTCCAAGGCGCCTTTAAATTGGAACACATGTGATCCAACCCATATTGATCTTCCTCCCCGTGTGGAACGCTGGGGAAGGGCGGCTGGAAGATTCTGGGACAAGCTAGGGAATGTTGTCTTCGATGGTTCTAGTTTAGTCAATTTAAACAACGTCTTATGGTTACCTGTCAAACCTGGAAATAGGTTTATATTCTCTCTCATGAAAAAAATGACTTTTTAAGGTCTCGAAGATCGGCCGAATGTTCCTTTTCTGGGGATCTCTCACCTCAGTATTGACAGGCCGAATGGGCTGGGTGCGGACAGGGAGTGAGTGACAGACAGGAGGCGCAGACGCGCCGTCGCTCCTGGGAGATGGGGCACGCAGCTCTGTTTCTCCGTCCGGCTTGTGAGCCATTTCCACGGTCTGCACCGTCCTGTCAGGCTGAAGCCGCGTCCACAGTGCGGCTGCGGTCCCTGGGGAGGGGGCAGGCACGTCCTGAGGACAGTGTCGCTCTCATGCCACCCTCTGCTCTCGGCCTGCGGAAACGCCCCCCTACCTGCAGACTGGTCCCCGTGACCCCGCCCGGTCCCCTTCCCAGCACAGGCCATCCACTGGACCCGGCTCCCATGTGGCCGTCCCCTCAACCCTGATGGAGGGGGTCAGCCTCCGGGAGCCCATCTCTGCACCGCCCTGTGGAGACAGAGCTGGCCCGGGAAGTGGGGCCTCCTGAGAGGGGGGCCGGGGTGAAGAGGAGGCCGAGGCTTTGTTCACAGTCTGTGGAAGGGCTTCCTCCCCCGAGAGCGAGGGAGCGGGTGCCACGGCCAGCTCCACGTGGCACACGGGCTCCAAAAGGGGCAGCGGGGTTCCCAGAGCACCAGCAGTTGGTCTCCGAGTTCTGCTTTTCCCATGAACAGTTGTTATCAAAAATCTCTGCCCGTGTTTTAAGCCAAATCCCAGAGTAGTTGGTAGTCCTGTTGGCAGCACCCCTGGGACAGAGGAGGCTGGGACCTGCGGGGCCCCTGGTGGAGCGCAGGACTTCCTCCCCAGGTAGCTCGACCCCGGGGTGCAGGCCCCTCCCTCTGAGCCTGGCTGGGCCTGGGGGGGACTGCATGGGTTGTTCCCGTGGCATTGGATGGGGTGCTGGGCGCTGTGGCTGTAGGGACGAAGGGCTGGTCAAATCCATCTGCTCTGGACCAGGGACCTGTGTACGGGAATCCCCACAGCCACCTGCAGACTCTGCCCCAGGGCAGACGTGGCACCCGCTCACAGAGGTCAAAGGCCGCGTTCGCTCGGCTCAAGAGGCAGAGGGGGGACTTGGCCTGTCCGCGCTCGGTCCCCGCACTGCCTCCTCGGATCCCGGGTCCCGGAAGCAGGTCAGGCCGGCTGCTTCTCCTTTCAGTACCTTCAAAATCCCGCGGGCTGACTCCCCGTGTCCACCCGCCCGCCTGGGCGCCATCTCGTCCGGTCAGAAACGGGCCAGGCACTTCCAGGAGGCCTCGGCGCTTCGGGGGCCACAGCGTCTCGGGTGCCTCGACGCACGGAGGAACACGCCGCCCAGGGCCTCCTGCAGAAGGTGGGGGCCCTGCCAGCACCGAGGTGCCACCCTCCGGCCAGCGTGGCTCACCCTGTGTTCTCTCAACAGCAGATGAAGCTGGTGGCCGAGAACCTGAAGGAAGAAGGCGGGAAGGAGAAAGAAGGCGGCCTGAACTAGCAGAGGGGCACCCGAGTGGCTGAGCGGCTCCAAACCCAGATCCAAGGCTCGGCCAGAGGAAGCAGCTCCCGTGGCAGCACCCACTCCTCCCAGCACAATGTCCCAGCTCAGGGCCGCGAAGAGGGCGGCTGGGACCCAGCTCCTGGCAGCTCCCCCCACCCCCCCCCCGCACCCCCCCACCTCAGGTTTCTGCCCCAGCCCCACACTCCATTCCACACACTGCACTCCGCCCGCTGCCCTGAGCCTCTCGTGTGGACCAACCACCAGCTCTCCATGGTGCCCGTCACGGAGATGGTCACCCCCACCCCCACCGCCCAGGGATCCGTGGGGCAGGGAGGCGGCCCGGGTGCGAGCCACGCTGAAGGGGGCTCTGCCCAGCCTCAGTTCAGAGCGAGGGGTGGACAAGAGGCAGGGTTTCCAATTCCCGACAACTCTACCTCTTTCCTGGTTCTATTTTGCAATATGTTAAGACACTTGATCAGCAGAAGCAATAGTATCAGCTATTAAAAGCACCTCTCTGGCTCCTACTTCCCACGCGTGGACTGCATGGCCCCCGGGGTTCTGGGAGGAGCTTGGGGCAGGTTCGTCAAGGTGAAGCCTGAGTGGGGAGCTGAGCGTGGAGCTGGGCACCTGGTGCCACTTCCAGAGCTCGGGTGGTTCTCGGGGCCCTGCTGCCCCCGGAGCCTGGCAAGGGCTGCGGGGCTGCTTCCATGCACAGGGCACCAGGCGGAGAGCCAGCCGCCACACCTGGCTCCTGGTGTGGCTGACGCCTGCGGAGGAGGGGCCTTACCCAGGGGTGCTGCACCCCCGCAGCTGTGCCATGGGGCTGGACCGCTCTCAGGCACAGTGTGGGTCACCGTGGTCTGGCCCTCCAGACACAAGGCAGCGACTGGAGTCCGCTGCTCCCCGCCTGTGGTCCAGGCACGAGGACCACCTGCAAGGGAGGGCCTGGCTTCCTTTCTCTGCCAGCTGTGCACGCTCTGCCTGTGAAACAGCCCCCCCCTTTACCCACCTCCCCCCCTCGCGCCCCCCTCCCCGCCCCGGGCGCATGTCCCTCATAGCCGGGACATTGGGCCATGGGCATTTCCACGCAGGTGCCTCGGCCACTGGGGAAGGCGGATGAGCAGGGGGAAATGAGGGCTCACCCGTCCCCTCCCTCAGGGCCAGCCCCCCGAGTCCCTCCACATCAGGATGGGGGTGGCATCAGCCCGTCAAGCATCATGTTTTTGGGAGCCAGCCCCCGTCTGCCACTCTTGGCTGCCCAGCTGGTCCTGCCAGGCCGCTGCGCTTGCCAGCATGTCTGCCTCTGCTTGGTCGGAGGCATCAAGGCCCATGTCCGCGGTCAGTGGTTGGCTGAGGCTTAAGGAATGCTTTCTAGAACATTATCGTGATTTAAACCAGCACGTGGTTCCCGCCACTACGGTCCTGAGCCAGGAGCTTCCTCGCATCCCAGCCTGGGCGCCTCAGACCCAGCTCACCGTCTCCCCCAGTCACATGAGCACAGTGGGTATGGGGCAGCGGGTTCCAGATGTGAATCCCATCGGCTGATCTTCCTGCCCATTCACATGGTGTTTCTGTCTGTCGCCCTTCCTCCCACTCTCTCTAAAAATCAGGCCTGTGCCTATTGGAGACTGGGGGTTGGGGGTGGGGTTGCCCCCCTCCAGGGTCAGCAGACCTGGACCCATCCAGCTCTGCCCCTCCTGCCTGGGCCCCAGCACTCCCAGGTGTAACCGGCGACGGCAATGGGTAGGGCGGGGCCTGACACTTAGCTTTATCCCCTTCCCCTGAGGAAGCTCACAGCACTCTGGGAGGGAGGCCGTGATTTCTGTGACCTTGTTGGTGACATGGGTGCCACAGGCTCAAGGGAAACTGCCATCAAACCTCCTCCACATCTTGTAGTCGATCACGAGGCCACACATCAATGGCCAAACTGCAGGGAGCACCTTTTTCCCAGCGTGAGGCCAGGGTGGGGGTGGAGAGGGACGGCATCGTCCCGGAGGTCTCCACAGTCCAGTCAATAGGACCACGGGGCGGGAGCAGTGAGGGGCGCCTTGGCTCCTCCCACCCCCGCTCCTGAGCACCTGCCACAGCGAGATGCCACCCCCTCGAGGGGCGGGACACAGAAGAAATGGAATGGAACACTGTTCTATTGCTGAACACCAATATGCCACTTTATTGTTTGGGTTTTCTCCCACTTGTCACAGACCTGTCCATGTTCACACGACGAGGAAAATCAACCCGCAGTGGACGCAAATGACCAATCAGTTGATCATTCTGTATACGCTTCACACACATCAGCGCTTACGTGGTAGAAATACCTTTAATTTGATTCAGTCTCACGGCTACTCTTAAAGTCGGTGTCAAGATTGTCACATCTTTAAATACAGATAGAATTGTCAGAAGTACATATTTTATATATATATATATATACACACATATGTATATATATACACACACATACAGAAAAATACAAGACTAATTGTCCACAATATTTAATTTACACACTACTGTAACTCTATGCAACTTCTGAAGACAAGTTAAGGGGTACAGGAAACTGTTTAGAGCAAGTAAGTAGTTTGGTCCAATATTATCTTAATGTAATGGTTATTCGCTCCCTCTCTTTTATGGGACAACATACTATGACATACAACACATGCACAGTCATTCACTTAGGAACAAAGGAGTAAGACACCACTCAGACTAACATCTGTCTACCCAGAGGGCCAACCAACCACACACAACTAATAAGGCTATAATACAGCTATGCAGCATAAATGGTCAACACTGCTGATCCTAGAGTGAGCACCATATATACATCTGAATATAAAAAACACAACAAAAACCGAACACATACGGGTTCAAATGTGCCATTCCAAGGCTATACATAATCACAGGAAAAAGTATTTACATTGCTTGGAAAACAGCTGCAACAAAGAGTTTATTGCCAATGCCCTTTATAAACTTCTCTCCTATGTTTAATACAGATGTTACGCTCACTGTCTATGTGAACCACACATCTTATTTCTGGCCCTTTATAAGATCCCTGCTCAAGAATTTCAAGCAAATGTGTTCTATGGCTTCACCCACACACCTATTCTCATAGCTTTCAATTATAAATATCACACTGAAATAGAGCTATAGCTTAAAACACATCTAGCCTAGGTCTAGAAAGTAAAAGTATTTGAAGTATCATCTTTACTTAATCTAGTAAGTATACAATAAAATTCAGAGCTCTGAGTAAAACAGATGGGTACTAACGTAGCAAGGTCAGTGTACACTTGGAGGCCTTGCCCAATGGCATGCCGTCCCCTGGGGCTCCGCCACTGTGTGGACCAGACACCTCACTGGAGGCTGATGAGCGTGGGAAGGCCCGGGCCCAGCCGCATCCTATCACCAATGCGGCTAAGCATCTAAGACCCCTCGGGGCACAGCATCTGGCCCCTTCCGCAATCAGCAATGTGCAATACACTGTGCCTACAGATAAAATTTGTCTTGAAAGATGATTATCTGGTCAAAAGGAGTCTCTGTACAGGAATAGTTTAAAGCAAGAGTTCTTGATTATTGTTTTGGCAGGAAGGCAAAGTGAAAAATATTTCCAGCAAAAAAACAAAACTGAAGCAGGTTTTGTTTGTTGATTGTGTGGATTCTACCCTTCTATGTGTTGATTGTGTGGATTCTACCCTTCTATGTGTATTTTTTGATTAGCCAATTGTCATAGCTAATTGAGCTAAAGGATATAAAATGGAAGTAACAAAAGAGACAACCTAATTACCAAACTCGTAAAAATCAATCCATGTATATACATATATGTGTTTATATATGTTTTTTTCAATGACCGGGTTTTGACTCTGCCCACCTCTGAGTGCACTTTGCCTCCACGTTAAGCCCTGCAGTTCCTTCTATCTACATGGTTCTGAAGGAAACCCTGGGCTGTGCCCTGCGGGAAGGAGTTTACACGAGCGTCATTTTGTTCTGTTACACAGACACACCCTATAAGTAGAGTTAAGACATCATCAGTTCACACATTATAAAATAAGATTGTCTGCTTGTCATTTACCACAACAGGGGAAGCTGCCTTATAAATCTAAGTACTTTATCTCACCTATTACAAAACAAGAAAATCTTTTTCAGTTAATTTTTAAGAGCCCAAACTTTGTTCACACTACAGCTTAAGACAAACAGGTGTGGGTATGTTGAAATCTCGGTTTAAGGTTCTAGTGCAGACGTTGGCTGTACTCTGTCCCGCACAGCCTCGGAAAGCTGGCGGGCACGTCCGCGGGCTCCAGGCCTGTCGGCATCTCACCGTTATTGCTTTGGTTCTGTATCGGACACCAGAGTGTGCCCCAGAGCACGGAGTCTCCGTGTAACAGGTCAGGACAGGAATTTAGATTTTCAACAAGGAAATACAAGCATGTTTTCTCTGTCTAGGTTAAGTGCGGAACATCACATTTCTAAGTGCTCCATTTATATTAGGTTCCAAATATACATTTTAATTTAATCCTGATCATCCACACTAAAATTCTGAATGTAAAAGTGACACACGAGATTGACTTTTCGGCTGGAACAGAAAAGCAGTGTCTAGCAGCAGCATGCACAAGGACCATGCATTGTCACAGCGCCAGGCGAACGAAGGGAAGCGTAATAAATAACTGCCCGCGGAGAGGGTAAAACCGAGAGCAAACAGTGAAGGGAGCCGGTCTTCACTGCTCTGAGCAGGAAGCGTGCGAGTGGCCGGGCGGCCACTGTCAGATGACGTGGCAGCAGGTGGCCTGGCTGGAGGCGCACAGCAGCCCCTCCTTGGGGTTCCGCTGGATGTTCACAGAGATGGTCTTTTCGCACAGAGGTAGCTGGAGCACGTTGTTTTTCAGGTTCCTGCTCTGTATCCGTTCTAGCTCAGTGGTGCTGTCCGCCACGTGGTCGGAGAAGAACTTGAGGCTGCCCACCACGGGGGCCTGGCCCAGGCTGCCCGCGGAGCTGATGCACATCTTCCACGTGGACTTCTCCTGCACCTTGACACTGGAGAAGGACAGGCCGTGCTGCGGGTCAAGAATGTACTTGGTGCCCCCGCGGAGCTGCGAGCCCAGGCAGAGGCCCATGAGTTTGAGGCTCTGCACCAGCTCCCCGGCGCCGCGCGAGGCCAGCTGCGTGGAGTTGGCGGGGCCGGCGCAGCGGCGGGTGCTGCCCGAGGTGCCCCCTGGGGTGCCCCCTGAGCCGCCCGAGGGGCTGCCCCCGCCCGCGTTGTTCTCGCTGGGGCTGGCCTTGTCCGCCCCGCCGCTGCTGTTGCTGGGCTTGCTCTGGCCCCCGCCGTCGCCCTCGCTGCCCGGCGGCCCCTCGCTGCTGTCCCGGCGGTGCCAGGAGTAGGTGAAGCCGCTGTCTTTATCGAGCCGCCGGCGGCTCTCCGAGTCGTCGTCGCTGGTCTCCGAGCTGCTGCAGCTGGAGCCGCGGCCCTGGCTTTTCCTCCGGTGGTAGCGTTTGTGCACCGTCCCCGGGGAGGCGATGTTCATCTTTAACCTGCTCAGCTTGGGAGGCAGGTTCTCATCCATGTCGAACTCGTCGTCGGACTCCCCCTCCTCGAAGATCTGGTTCAGCACCGGGGCGCTCTTCCTCGAGGTCAGCCGGTTGGTCACCGAGGGCTTCCGGCGCAGGACCACTTGCGTGGAGAGGGACATGGGTTTCTTGTCCTCCTCATCCTCCTCCTCGTCTTCCTCCACCCGGAACAGACACTTCCGCCCACTGGCCGCGGGCTTCAAGCTCGCCGGCGGCACCGCGGACAATGCCGGCCCAGCCAACTCGGGGAGGTCGTCTTTCTTGGCCGTGTCACACAGGCCTTTGCTCCGGTGGCCATTGAGGACATTGTCGGCAGCCCGCGCAGGAGCCGGAGGGACGGTCGCGTGGGACAGGGGAGTGGCGGTGAGGTCGTCCTCCAGGTCCTGGGGCACGTCGATTTTGGTGGGCCACGACTGCCTGCGGAACAGATGGGAAAGGACACGCCATGTCATCATATGCAGACTCTGCTGAAGGACATTAGACACAACTTACCGGGACAAAACCTGCACACTTACAAGAAAAGAAACGGCAGCCATGCAAGCTCATTCCACCCCGTGACGGTCAGAAAGGACACCTGAAGGGCACGTTGTCCCAGCCCCCCGGCTTTCCAGGGGCGCCTCTCCTCTACAACAGTGTATGCCCCAAGAAAAGCATTTTTTAAAAGCACACGGGAGTCACCACTAAAGCAGAATCTGAACACCACATACTCTGTCCCTCTGGGTCTGAGATCACAGCCTGTGATGGTGTGTTGCTAAGAAGATTCACCTGAAATTTCCAGTCCTCCTTTTTGTAAAAGTCTGGTATTTACAAAAATAAATGGAAATAGCTGAATGGATTTAACATGAGAATGTTGGAGAGAAGAGTTGGTGAATGCTGGCATATATCATCTCCTCACCAATTAAAAAAATGCAACCAGCAAAATAGAAATACTTGCATTTTCAATGATCAGGAAGAGTACTGGATAGCAAAGTCCACTATGACGTAAACTCTGATTTTATCCCCCATCTGGGGTCACTCAACGAGAACCCGATTGGTAGCTAAAGAGAAAGACTTTGGAAAATGAGGTCTCTGGCTTGTTTTGAATAAACATCTTGGAATTCTCAGCTGTCCTCCCTGCCCAGGGACCAGCAGATGCCAGACACGTTTACAACAGCCACTTCCACACGACGGCATCTTCATTTCACACCAGTTATGTTATCCTAGAAATAACACCTAATTAAATCTATAGCTGGTAAAACTCCTGGCATTTACAGCCGACACCCTGCCCCCAACTCAGAGCCGATCACGTTCCCTCGAGGGTGGAGGGCCATTTGCTACCGTCACTGCGTGGTAGTTTATGGAAGCTGAGTGTTCCATGTGTTTGAGGTCAAGCAGTGTCTCTGGAAAAATCGTCTGTCCTCCACCAACACCACTGCGCCCACTCCCGGCGAACCTCGGGGTCCCAGAGCAGAGCCGCACACAGTGTGCTTTCAGGCCGAGCAGCTACCAGAACATCACCCCACGACCATGGGGGAGCCCATGGCGGGTACTGACTCGCCAGAGCAGCAGCCAGTCCATTCGAGAAGGATGGGGCGGGGCACAGCCTGATAAAGGCTCTTCTCTCCTCCCCTCCCCACCGCCGGAAACAGGATGGGTGAAGGCTACAGCTGTAGTGGTCAGGCTGACCATAAGGCATCCTCAGCCACAGAGCCAAGTCAGGCCCAGGGTTTGGACATTGAAGTCACAGTGACGTAAAGAGAAGGCAAGGAAGCAGACACAGGAGGAAGACAGGCCTGCAGGGCGTCTCCACTCCAGAATCCCCAGGAGGTAAAGGAAAACTGTGGGAGGCTCTGATACTTCTTTATAGCTGCTATTGGCTTTGCCATTTCCAGAAGTAAAACCAATTTTACTCAGTTACTGTTTGATCACTTTTAGATTGAGCTCTGTTCTGTCTCACTGAACAGACAACAGCTCGAATCCAAATATCCCTTCTCCAAAAGGACTGGGTGGCTCCCGACTTGGTGGCCCAGCTACTCGGAGGCTGTGCTTTCCCACCAGAGGGCTCAGCAGGACGAGGCTGGCCCACCCTCTCCGTGTCACTCTCCTGCTCTGTCTCATGCCCCGAGTCCCCTGGCTCCCTGGCCCAGGCCTCTTCCAGGCCGACACCTGACAGCGTGCCTAGTTTCCATTACAGAAGAATGTGTGCAGGACGCGGAGTTCCTACACTCAGCTTCCAGCTCAGACTTCTCACTCTTTTCTTCTTCGGCCACCAGGACTGCTTTCTTCTCTCTCTCCTGTCACTCCAGCCCAAGCAACAACCTAGCATGGCAAGTGACTGCAGGGAATTTAACCCCAATGGTTTTCCTCCTCTTTTTAAATAAGTATATATTCACACACATATAATCATTCATTGTTGGGTGTACGAGTAGAGAATTATTCAGAATTGGGAGCGTCCTTTGTTTTTTGAATCACTACAGATCCAGGGATTACTTTATCTGGATATGAATTCTAATAAATTTCCTAATGATGGTGTCAAAGGTAACCCTTCCTATGCTCTGGTTTTAAGCGGAAAGCTAGCATGGCAGGAGAACAGGAAACTGGGGGGGAGGATGGAGAGTTCAGGAAGGAGGGAGGAAAAGAGAGACAGGGTGGTGATAGTCCTACCAGAGGCAGCAACAGGGAGCCGGGCCGGACGTACCCCACAGGCCCTCACTCATCTGGCCCTCACCGCACCCCAGGAGGCAGGCAGTGTGCTTCCTCCCCCTTCACAGGCCGACTCAGCAGCTGAGTCATAGGTTAAGTGACCTCCCCAGGTCATCAGCCAATAAATCAACTGGCTAATCTGACTGTCAAATCCCTGAAATCCTGAGACAACATCCCGGCCCAGAAATGCCCTGTTATTTTTAAAAGTTATTTCAAATAACTGAGGGAAAACTGGCCTTGTTCCTGGAATAAAAGAATAAAGAAATGAACTTATTAATACATGTCAGACCTCGAAGAGTTTAATGAAAATAAACTACAGACACGCTGGCTTGAGACCGTCTCCAAACCTGTTCCCGGCCAGGCCAGCAGCCCCAGCCCCGAGCCCAGGAGCCCACGGCATCCTTGGTGACGCAGGGTCCCAGTCCCCACTCGTGTGGAGAGCCCCCATTGCTGTTCACAATCTTGCCCCAGAGTTAGGAAGCATTAAGCAAGCAAACAAACAACGTTCACTATTTCAAAACGTTAACTTACTAAAATCAGTGAAGATTTTTTCTCACCTAAACTGGGCCTTGATGTTGCTGGGGCTGGCGGACCTGGTTTGGATTTCTTTCTCCTGCTTCTCCCGCAGGATCCGTTCGGCGAGCAGGAAGTACGTGGCCGTGATGTGGTTGTACCTGTTGGTCTCCAGGGCTCTGGAGAAACAGGGAGAGTGCAGAGACCTCAGTAGCAGATTTTTACAAGCAGAACTGATGCTTTTAAAGTGCAGTCCAAGCAAATGGATCCAATGCTCAGAGTCTTTAAAATTAAGAAAGATCACAAATAAGAAAAAAACCTAGTATTTAGATTACTTTTGAAACTCTAAAAAAACTGCATAAAAATATTCAGTTAGTAAGAAAAATCCAAAATGCTGATGGCATGTGGGCTAGATGTCAGGTTTAGGTGCATAAAAGGAAATGAGGCTTCAAGAATGTACACATTATCCAAACTTTACTCTGTCGAAGTGTTTGTTTTCGTTGCGCTGGCTTACTTGCTGCCATCAGAAGTGTGAAGTGGGTTCTATGAATGTGTATGAAACACTACTACCAATCACAAAAATCAGTTTTTACTCTTACACTCTCCTGGCATTTATTGGAATTTTACATATTAATGCATTATCATTGATGTAACCGAGAGCCTGTCATTAGCATCTTCTTTGTCAATGATTTCACTCATCCATTTCAAAACTGATGCTCTGAGAACCGAGTGCAGCCACCGGGGCTGGGAGCTGCTGGGGGTGTTTGGCCTTCCGAGGCGGCCCTGCCTGCTCCCCTGCAGCTGGCCTTCCAGGCAACAGCAGGAGCAGGTGACAGGGGCCCACCAGGCCCAGAACTATGCAGCCAGGCTTTTTGGGAACTTTCTGTCGTTAGTGAAAATACATAATGAACACTAGGAAAGAAGCAACATGGGGATCACTTTTCACCACGTGTACCTGGGCCACAGCTTAACAGGGGCGGGCGGGCTGGCTGAGGACAGACTCCAAAGTAAGAGCCCACGAGAGCCAACACATTCGAGTCGCTGATGCAGGGTCACCCACAGAGGAGGGCTCACGCTGCTCACGCTGTGGACGCAGGAAGACCGAGACCGCCTGGAAGGGCGGCTCAGGCGTCCAGATCCCCGCTTCCCTCCGGCGCACGCTCACTGGTGGACGGGCACATGGAACCTCCTGAACCATTTGATGAGCGCTCCTTCTGGGTTTGTAACTGAATTTACGTGAGTTAAATAGCTCTGTGACACCACGGCAGCTATTTATTTATTTAAGCTAAGAACATTAAGACAATTCAGGAGATAAAAACAGCCTTCTATCTACTCAAAAACGAACAGTCATTTTCTATGCACTACTAAAGTGTGTGTCCTTGGCAAGCCAGCTCTTTCCATTGTACCAGCTGTTCCAATGGGTTAAATAACGTTTGACTTTTCCTTTGTGGAAGTGTTTCATATTCTAAAGCTAGGACCTCCTATAGAAATGAACCAATGCTAAAGCAAAGCACATCTTTATATTATCCTCGATTCTAAACTGCTCAGGTTATTTGTAAAAGTTAGGTGATTTCTAAGCCCCTGAGGTTCTGAAGTCTCTCTGTGCTGTTCAAGGACTTAGTTAATAACTTGTGGGTTCCAGGTGGCGGCAGCAGGGGCTCTTCAGGACCCGAGAGCAAGTATTTCAGATGTTGAGGGTCATGTAGTCTCTCAGATACGCTGCTGTAGCACATGCACCGTGGACAAAACATAAATGAATGGGCACGGCCGTGGTTCACTAACACTCTACTTACATAAATGCATGACTGGCCCCCCACATGCCAACCCCTGACTTAGGGGACTTGAGATGCTGCCCCATTCTCCCTGCTCACTGTGGGAACCAGTGAGGGACATGGGAATGAAGAGAATACTGCTATGGGCAAGGCATATACTGGGACACAAAGCAGGCTGTACCCCAGGAGGAAGGGAGAAAGGCCACAGCGCTCAATGAGACACCCCTTGGTCACTAGTACAAAAATAAGCAAAATACAACAAAACCTAAGAGCCAGGACCAGGGCAGGGAACTCCAGGGATAAATGGCATGACCCTGTCAGCTGGGTCTCCAGCCATCACACAGTGCCACAGGCCCTGGCAATACAGAGAGAGCCCGTTCCAAGCATCCAAACCCATGGCCCCTACAGGTGCGTGGTAACATACTCGACAATGGCATCTCGATCCGCTATGTCCCCGAGCACCATGCGCTGAATGATGCTGTTGTGCTCCTCCTCCGAGAGGTTCTTGTAGGACACCAGGGGGATGTTATACTTGGTGGCTGGCGAAGGGTCCACACCCTGAAGCCAAGGATGGTTTTCAATCTCTTCTAAAGAGGCCCTCCTCTTGGGATCTCTCTGTAGCATCCGGGTGATCAGGCTGGAAAGGGAAGTAAGTCCATTGTTCAAACAAAGGTAGTTCTTTGAAAAAGACTAATAAGATAATAAACCGCAGGCAAGATTGCACAAGACAAAAAATAAGAGAAGGCAACAGGTGGCAATATTAGAATGAAAAAGGGCAACACCCCCACTAATCTATAGACTTTAAAAATGTAATCAGAGGATATTATGAATATTTGAGACTAACAAATCTGAAAATGTAGATAAAATGAACCAGTTCCTGGCACTATCCCTCCAGGGAGCACGCCCTTGCCATTCCCTTCTCCCTCTCCTTCCCCCAAGGCTCGTATTCCCTAACCTCTAAGGGCCCCATAATATTTTTGCTATGGTCAATAAATTCTTGCTTGCTTTTCCATTAAAAAAAAAAATGAATGAGTTTCCTGAAAAACACAACTTAGCAAAACTGACACAGGAGAAAGTAGAAAACTGAGTGGTCCTATGATTATTAAAGATAATTCCTCTTGGAGGGAGACACAGAGGCTTCTAAGTTATTAGAACCTTTCCATTTCTTAAGCTGGATAACAGGTACAGAGGTGTTCATTTTATTACAGACACATTTTAAACATTCTTGTTAACATATTTCAATATAAAAATAAGTTTTTGAGTAGAGGCTGTGGAGATACTTCTTGAATTACAAACATTTAACATGCACACAACATATATCCTGCTTCCTGGGGCAGAGAAGAATCATAGTAAAGGCATAAACATCGCCATCATCAACATTCATATCAGGTGCTTCCTATGTGCTGAGGGCTGAGCCAAGAACTTTTATAGACATTAATTTATTTCATTTTCACAATAACCCAAAAGGTGGGTTCTATTATTCTCACATCATTAGTAAAGTGAGAAGTTAGTATTTGAATCCAGAGAGTTTGAACACCTAAGTTCTTAATGATCCACCACATGGCCTAAGATGGGGCTCCGCCTGGAGGAAGGATTCTTCAAACTCAGATTTCCTTCTATTTCCACCGCCCCCCCCCCCCCGAGTTATAGTTGACATTCAATATTAGTTTCAGGGGTACAGCATAGTGACATTAGTTTCAGGGGTACAGCATAGTGATTAGACATTTCTATATCACAAAGAGAACCCCCAGAAGTCTACTTCCCATCTGGCAACACACATAGTTACCAGCTGAATCTATGTTACGATAGCAAAATCCTCTGAGTGGTAGCTATACTCTCAGCCAAGCTCATTTCAAAGCATCACCCACAACATCAATGAAATCCTGAACTTCCAACAGTTCCTTTATTCCACTATATTTCTTACTACACATATCCGAGTGCTGTATGGTACTTTAAATCCAAAACAATCAACTTGAGTGTATTTTTGGTTGGCTGCCCATAGTCACATGAACCAAAACAGAGCTCTTTAGTTAACTGGGGGGAGGGGGATGGGAATAAAATGATGAGACACACTATGTAAATCCTAAAATGGCGTGTTGATTGTCTATTTCAGAAATGCCCTAACTCTTCCCTGGAACTTAAAATAATTCCAGGTGGTCGTCCTCATTGCTGATGCAAACAGAGAAGAGTAATTCTCATGGGAATGTCTCATTTCAAGTAAAGTAACCCCCTCTCCTGGAGACTGAAACAGCACGTAATGAGCTTCTTGAAAACTGGCATATTTAAGCAATACAGTAATACACTCTGTATCTAATATTAAATTTCAAATCATATTCTGGGGTTAACTCCCCAAAACACACTTATCAAGAGCAGAAATATTAAGTTCAAAAAAATAAAATAAACACACACTTTTTTGTACTTACTCTTTACACTCTTTAGACACATGGGATGGGACCGTGTATTTACAATCCATGATCATTGTCAATGTTTCACTGTCATTGGCCTCTTGAAAGGGTGGCTGCCCGCACACCAACATGAAAAGGATCACTCCCAGACTCCATATATCTACGAATCAAAGACATACTGCTAAATATTGTACTAGTCAGAAAACTAAAGATACTTCGTTAAAGGAGACTAACAATATTATTTTATTTTGAACAGTCAAAAGCACTTATATCTCAAAGTATAAAGACTAGGGAAGAAAGGTTAAGCCCCAGTAAGATAGAGATGGCATTTGTTTTGTTCACTGTTTAATTCACTTAAGGCCCAAGCAAGTGCCAGGCACACGGTGAATGGTCAATAAATGTTGACTGAAGAGATGAATTAATTCATTTGTTAATGACAAGAACATCAACTGGAAAGTGTCTATCAAGGTCCACCAACTGGTGGACAGGCACGGCTGTTTCCCCATCACAGTACACAGCAGAGGTAAAGCTCAGAGGGTAATACTGAGACACAAACAGGATTTTGCCTAAGGTCACAATTATCTCAGTTGTTCTTCACCTCGATCCTGGTGAGATAACCAGATCTTGCAACTCATGATCATTTTATAGATGAGAAAATTACAGCTTGGAGAGGAGAGAAATGTTCCTGGCTGTCAATGAGAGGACGAAGCTAGGACTAAAGGTATATAAGTCACCAGAAGCACACTTTTTGGCTTAAAAACGGCAGGAAGGACCTACTTAATACAGCCGTTAAAGCACTGGGAAACGTAGCAGCTTCCTGTCACTGCAAATGTTCCCACAGAGGCTGGGCAACCACCTGTCCAATATCTGCATGTGGCACCCTGCAGATGCAAGGCTGGACAGTCACATCTGAGGGCCCTCTCACTCTAGCAATAGACTAACGCTGATAATCAAAAATAATCCCTTCTTGTATGAAATAAAAAACAAAGCTGTCAATCAGATGGAAAAAGGTCTTCTTCAGATGAAAAAAAAAAATCCATTTAGGAAGGGTATCATATAAATTAATTCATTCCAAAAACTAATGTATAGACAGATTATATCAACATTCACATAAGAGAGAAATTCAAGAAGCTTTCCGGACCACAAAGGCTTGGAGGAGAACGGAGGAGCAGGCCACCGGGCCTTTGTGACCACATCTGTTAACACACGACTGCTCTCATTACAGCTTAAATGCCCCAAATAATGTAGGTTCCAAGTTATTTTCCAAGAGAATTAAACCTTGTTAATAAAATATATTTTCCTTGGTCCAAACTAAACAAAGAGGGTAATAAAGGCACAAACACAAAAGTCACACACACACACACTGGTTTTTAATACGTACATTAAATTTTCCTAAGGATGCTCCAATGAAAATTGGCGAAGTAGGTAGAAAACGCCACGAAAATGAAAACATTTATGCAAATGAGAATGAAAGGGACCTAAGGATCTTTCAGTCCAAACCCGTGGCTCTGCAGTGTCCCTGAGCGGCCCACCTGGCACTGCCTGTTGGATCCATGAGTTATGGGTCCCCCTGCCCCAGGACAGTTCACTGGCTCAGCAACCATTCTACTCACTAAACCCGCATTTCTTTACCTTAACCTTGGACTCCAGAGGGCCATCCCCCTTCAAAGTAAACATCCCGAGTAATGTGGCTAGTGGCACCTGCTCTTTATAACCTTGGACTCCAGAGGGCCATCCCCCTTCAAAGTAAACATCCCGAGTAATGTGGCTAGTGGCACCTGCTCTTTAACCATCCAGTGAGAAGAACTGATCACCCCATTAGTATCTTATGAAGATTTTTAATGGAAATTTATATAGGTTGATGTTTAACTTAACCTTCTTTGTAGAATTGAACCTGCTGTTTTTGGTCACCTTGCCCCAACTCTCAAGCCACCACTGTGAGTAAGGCAATTACAATTATTGTCCCTTTAATGCATATGCCTTTCATTTTATAAAATATCAACTATCACCTAAACCCACCTTTTCCCCAATGCTCATTGCATGGGGGGATTTTTCAGCAAGTTTTTGTTTATAATATACACTTGACTATCTCTTCCCCAAAGAAGGAGGATTTTTAAATGGCTTACAAAAAAATGTGCATAAACATAAAAATTAGGATTAAAACAAAAATTTTCTTCTGTTGTTAATATTGATAATGTCTAATGCTACTTACTACTATACCCAAACCTAGCCGTGAATATGTATTCTATTTGAGTTACAATATATCCGTATCATTCCAAAGACATCCTACAAACACAATTTCTATAAAATGAATTTGGTTCATTGTTTCTTCTACCACCTCCTACTTTCACTGTGGATCAAGTGGTTTGGATTTTACTTTGTCTCTGTGCTAAACTGGAGATGCTATCTGACAGTGCAATGACACAAAACCGATGTTTTCAAACCAAATATCGACTAATGATGCCCAAAGCCTTATTTGGTTAAACACAACTTTCTTTTCTGCTAAATATTAACCTCAGCAGCAACAGGCACGTCCAATTGTTTGGCAATGTTCTCTTCAAGACCATCTGCCCAAGCAAACGAGCACTGCTGATTAGGAAGTGACGCATGACCAGGAGTCACAAAATAAAACCAACATAAATATACACACTGTCTCCAGTGAGGGCCCAAACAATTTCTGAACATGGAAATGCTTACGTTTGGGAAACTTAGGAATACAGTGCATGCACAGTGCAGCCCATGGTCCGGGGCAGCGCCTCTGGGGAACACGGCGTCACCAAGAGGGCAGTTTTGGAAGGCAAACGGCCCAGCCCTAGCTGGTTGGCTCAGTGGACAGAGCGTCGGCCTGCGGCCTGAAGGGTCCCGGGTTCCATTCTGATCAAGGGCACATGCCCGGGTTTCGGGCCCGATCCCCAGTAGGAGATCTCTCATCACTGATCTCTCTCTCTCTCTCTCTCTTCGCCTCTGAAATCAATAAAAAAATATTTTTTAAAAAATAAAAGAAGGCAAACGACCCTCTCACTGACAACACGAGTATTCAGGGGCCATTTATTCCATGTACTTATCCTCCAGGCTTTTTATTTCTCTTTGTACTCTGTTTTGCCTTTGAATCATTTTATTTTTTCATCCTAAGGGCCAAAGGTACGGGAAAAAGTGTCACTAAACAAATGCAAAGTGGTATGACTTTAACCAGGTCCCGGTCTTTAACATGGGAACAGTAACAGTGATCTACTTCCTCTTAGAGCTGCTGTGGGGCTGAAAAGGACTGAAATGGACTCCATGCGAAGTCCTCAGGGCAGGGCCCAGTGCACAGGAGGTAGGGAGGGCCCGGAGGCAGAGGGGGTTGCTGCTGCCCCGCTCCCATTCGAACGGGGCAGGCCCTGGTCCAGCACAGCGGACATGGAGGTACCCTACCCCTGGCAGGGCTCCAATTCACTGTGAGAAACAGACAGTAGGGAACAGGAACAGAAAGCAGGTAAGCTCAAGAAGGCACAAAGCCAGCAGAGAGAAGAAAAACTCCTGGAGATAGGCGAGAGGAACAGGGGAGGTCTAGGAACACAGGTTAAAAAAAAGGGATGGCCAGGAGCTTGGGTCCCCAGGACCAGACATCAAGAAGGGCATCGGGACAGATTCTCTATCACACTCCCCCACAAACGGGGAGGGAGGCAGTGCTTTTCTTAATAAAAATTCATTTTAGTGGGTATTTTAAATGATCTTTTTTCATTTAAAAAAGTTTGCTAATGAAACTACAAACTCCCAAGGTACAGATCATAGCCTCAGCCTGAGATCCTAGGAGCACAGGGATCCACAGAGTCTGTCATTGGGGGGTGGGGTGGGGAGGGGAGAGAAAGCATGGAACAGGGACTTCACATTATTTTCATTTTTAAAAACGTTCAAAGAATTCTCTACTCAGAGTAAAGGTGCACAGGTTAACTAACACCAATCAACCACCTGAAAAATCAAACTTTATGTTGATACTATTTGAAGCACATGTTTTGATTTCATACCTAGCTATAGACTCTTGGTTAATAAAAATGGAAAAAAGAAAATATCAATAAATACAGTTCCTTGTGTGTGTGTGTGTGTGTGTGTGTGTGTGTGTATATATATATATATATATATATATATATATTTTTTTTTTTTTTTTAATTTCAGAGGGGAAGGGAGAGGGAGCGAGAGATAGAAACATCAATGGTGAGAATCACTGATTGGCTGCCTCTTGCACATTCCCCACTGGGGATCGAGCCTGCAACCTGGTCATGTGCCCCAACAGGGAATCAAACCGTGACCTCCTGGTTCATAGGTCGACGCTCAACCACTAAGCCACACTGATCAGGCCCTTTGGTGTTGTGTTTGTTTTTTTTTAAATCTTCCAAAAATAAAACATCTTCCAACTCATGGAACTGTAGAAAGGGGTGCAAGATAGCAAAGTCTGTGTTAGTATAAAGGGTGGAGTTGCTGGTCCCCCAACTGGCTTTCAAGCTGGAACTCAGAGCACAACCATGAGCACGGAGGTCGCCTCTGCCCAATCTCAGCAGGTCCCGTTGCCACCTGAATTCTGCTGTTTCTGGCGTTAGAGGTGGGGTTTCTATCACAGGGCTCGCTGCAAGCAGGCTGAGGAGATCAAAATGAAAACAAAATAAAGGAACAAGCTAATGATTAATTTGAGGACAAGCAATTGCCACGGGGGATTGGGTGGGGGGGAATGTCATGACTACGGAGATTTTCTAAACATCATTTCTGAAGTGAATTTTCTAGACAGCAAAAATAAAAAATGGGGATTAGAGAGTAATAAAAACGGAAGGCCAGAAGTAAGTTCTAGGTGGAAACCTCTATTTCTGTCTCTTTTATCAGTGTAGCCATGAGTCATGGCAGAAGCAGTGGGAATAGAATGTTCTCAAACCACGACAGGGAAGCAGGGACCGGCACCTTTCACCACTTACAACCGGCAGGATTTATGCAACCACTTCTCAGTTCCAACTGTGCTCACCAGCAACGGACACATGACCCGACGCTAACATAAAAGGCAATGCTTTCTTAGAACAGCAAGGACGGCTGCAGACGTTTGAGGATGAAACCTAGGAACCCCGGTTCTGGAATAATATTCACAAACCTAAGGCCTATGGCAGGGGTCCTCAAACTACAGCCCACGGGCCACATGCAAATACAAATATTGTATTTGTTCCCGTTTTGATTTTTTTACTTCAAAATAAGATATGTGCAGTGTGCATAGGAATTTGTTCACAGTTTTTTTTTAAACTATAGTCCGGCCCTGTAACGGTCTGAGGGACAGTGAACTGGCCCCCTGTTTAAAAAGTTTGAGGACCCCTGGCCTATGGTCTGCTGATGTGAATTCCTGACTACACAATAAAAACTACTCATCTGCATTCACCATCACCTAGAGCTTTAGTGCCTAAGCATCCTGTCTGGACAAGATCAGTGGCTGGTTCTAAGGGACATGACTAGAGACCATTCTGAAAGTAGATCATCTGAATGAACAGAGTAGGAACACAAGCAGAAGAGGAACGAAGAATTTGGAAAAGTCCATGTTTTAGGATGCCTCCATTATTCCTGGTTTTATCAACATTCTAGTGAGAAGCAAGGTTTTATTACTTAACAAGGGGATTATTTCTTCCCTTAAAAAATAAAAATAAGGATGCGTCCCATCGTCCCATATTGACTTCAAAAAATGTCTTTCCCACATCAAACATCAATGCTGCCCAAACTAGCTTATCATCTCACCCAACCTGTTTGTCTCCTGTTGCTCTAGCCTGGTCAGTGCAACTCCACCCAATCAAACTCCTGGAGACATCCCGGACTCTCATTCTGCGGGTTCTCTGACTTCCCCGTCAGGGAGGTCCCGCCAGGGCCTGTGCTCAGAACCCTCAGAGGCCCCGAGTGACCTGACGAGCTGGGCCACCTGGCGACTCAGCAGCACTACCAGGAGCTGTAGTTACAGGTGTTCTGTTCCCCTCCATCACTCAGAGCACCTCAAATGCCCAGTGTGTCCCCTGCAGGAGGTAGTCCTGCCCAATAGGGCACAGCCCCCAAAAGGCGGCTGAAGTGGAGGCGGACGGTTCCTGTCCTTCAAATAGCAGCTGAGAGAAAGGAGAGTATAAGTGTGGAGTGTGTGCACGTGGGGTGGGGGCGATCAGTGAAGACACTGCATTTCGTTTTAGCTGTTCAAGGCCTTGTGCAAACTTGTTTGACAAGTAAAAGAAAACAGGAAAAAGTTCAAGGAGTCAAAAGGTTATCAATCACGCACTGGGGGACTGCACAGGTTCACAAACCCAAACCAGAGAAGCAGAGACAACTGCCACTCAGCTCTTTCACAAGGAACTTCATGGCTCTGACCTTGGCCCCACTTGGGAAGTGACCTTGATGGATGAAGAGGGAAAGATAAACCAGGCTGAGACAGATCGCGGTCTGATTTCTTTCAGCAGAGACGTGGGTTCGAATTCTACTTGGGCCATTTCATTAGGTATGTATCCCCAGCCTGGTTTTTATGCATCTTACTTCTCTCCTCTGGAAAGTGCCACACCACCACTCCTCTGGTAACGTCAGAGGGGGGTCTGGGCAAACAGTGGGACACGGATCGCTGCACAGCCTGCGAGGACTGATAAAAACAGTGACCTCTCAGTGCAGGAGACGGCCGGAGAAGCAAAAAGGAGTTTATACTTTTCATTCAAAATACCCCTGTATTATTTGAATTATCTTATAAAAGCATTCATTTACTACTTGTAAAAAATTTTAAAAATTGACTGCGCTTGAGAGAATATTATGATGTGTACACACTTTAACTGAATAAGCACAAAGCTCTTTACAGGAACATAAAAGGCAGTAAGGCCCGGACACGGCTCTCCTCACGAGATGGTGTGCGCAGCCTGTGCTCTGGGGCCACCGCCTCGTAAGGCTCCCTGCACGGATGCACAGACCACTCTCTCCACAGCATGAGTGGCTACAGCAGGAATTCTTTTGTCATTTTTAGCACAAATAACTTCCTTCAAGGATTTAAAAACTCAAACATTAAACTCACTGATGTTTCATAAGAAACCCTGAATAGTTTTATAAAATGTGATGAAAGGAAAAGGGGGATGGTGGAGCCACAGAATCCCAGACACAGCTCAGTTTTCCGTGGGAGCATCAGCATCACAGTGTCTAGGCAGGGGTCTTATCTCGGAAAGCCAGTGCCGCGGGCCTTCTCCCTCAAGTTCTAGTTCCCGCTTCAGCACAAACCTGAGGGTTCTCGACGGGAAGGGGACACTGAGCCAGAGCTCCGGACCCACTCGGGTCCATTCCCAGACAGTCAGTCTGGGCGCTCTGGCTGTCTCGGAATTCCCACCTAGCCAGAACAACCCCGCGAGCTATTTCTAAATACTGGGGTGAAGCAGTGACAACGTTGCACCTTCCAAAATCTGGCCTTTTAAAAACACCTGGTGAGGCCCAGCGGCGTGGCTCAGGGGCTGAGCATCGACCTATGAACCAGGAGGTCACGGTTCGATTCCCAGTCAGGGCACATGCCCGGGTTGCAAGCTTGATCCCCAGTAGGGGGCGTGCAGGAGACAGGCAATTGTTTACTCTGATTGTTGATGTTTCTAGCTCTCTCCCTATCTCTGAAATCAATAAAAACATATTAAAGAAAAAAAACAACCACCTGGTGAGAAAGGGCTTCATGTGGTCCATAGCATACCTGTGAAACCACGCCTGAGTCTCTCTAAAGAGGGAATCACAGCTTTCGTCAGACTCAGTGAGTCTAGAACTCCCTAAATGCACACACAGAAGGCAAGGAAAGGCATTAGGACGTGAGCAGAGACCAAGAGGAGCATGGAGGGGACCATCCTTAGACTCTAAAGAAGTTTAGAAGGACGTACATCTTCACTTCTTTGTGTTGGTTTGTTTTCTAAATATGGAACACTTCACCAATTTATGTGATATCCTTGTGCAGGGGCCATGCTAATCTTCTCTGTATCGTCCCAATTTTTAGCATATGTGCTGCCGAAGCGAGCACCATTTTCATTTCTTTAGTTCATCCCTGTAATATTGATTCAGTTACACAAACACTGAGAGCTTGTCCTGTTTGCCAGGTGATGAGGACGGGGCACAGATAAGATATAAACACACAGTTCCCTCTCAAGGACCCTACTATTGAGCAAGAGGGACAGGGAGCCATCTGGAGTGTGCAAGACTTGGCATCCCCCCATCCAATTCCAAAGGGAAGAGGCAATCGGGGCCTGTGCCCTCTGCATTTCATCACCCTCTTTTTTTAGCCACCCGCAACCCTCTATTCTTTTTATCCAACCAGTGTGCCCACCCTGTGCCTGGGGCGTCCCGTGCACCAGGGTTCCGCGCTTCTATAGAGTCTCGCTCCACGTTCTTGTTTTCCTTCTTAGCAGACACCACCATACGTCCTGATGTCCTCCTGAGGCTCCAAGTTTAAATCACTCTTAAATTTAAATTAAAACTGTAAACTATTAAATTCGGCACTGTTTTGGACTGTACATCACATCACTATAAGGCTAAGAAATCAAGATAAATTAGGTAAGACAAAGTGAGTGACATAGAAAATGGGTTCCATAGAACGGTGGCAATCAGAGAAGTAAAAACAGTGACGGACACGCCTGGGAGTCCCAGCTGTAATGAGCACTGGTGCATCTCTGCTGCTGAGCGGGCTCAGCTCTGTGGCACCTGTTCTACTTCTGCCGTCCACCTCACCTTCTCCACCGAAGTCATCCTTAACCTGTGAGGATCCGATTGACAGGAGCCCCCGCCCTTGAAAGAACTAAACCCAAGAAGCGACTCTTCATGATAATGTTATTGTTTCTCAAGAAGCCACTTCCTGACATGAGCAGACAGGGTTTCCCTAGGAACGGTCACTACCTGGTCCCATCAGGGCTCCTGAAGCGAGCACAGAGTGAGGAAGCACAGACCCCCATGTAAGCACACACGTGTTCTGCAGCAATTTTTAAAAACATGACAGTAACTCCACCTGGCCACTTGGAGTTGAGTCTGCGCAGCGATGTGTATTCTTTCTGTTGTGGTTAATCCTCACCCAAGGATATTTTCCCATTGGTTTTTAGAGAGAGTGGGAGGGAGGGAGGAGGGG